TATATATATATTACACATATGTATGTATAAAATATAATATAAACGAAGAGATAAAACGATAACTAAGGGTAACTACGACAAAAAATGACTGCTCTATACTGCTAAAGTACAAATGTTTTCATTTAGTTGTTTTATAAGACGATATCGATTTGTTAGGACTGATTATATCTCGCATTCAGTGCTAAACGCAACGGGCGTTTTATTTATCTCGTAATGAAAATTGCATAGAATGTTACATGTGATTGAGAATTTAAATAGCTGCATACAGAATATTAAATGCGAGATATAAACTCGGATCTAAGTTTATTTCAGCGCGCCGGTTTGGGCACACATATATACATTCCGGCGCGAGTATGTATATCTGTATTTATTTGTTAATCTCGAAACGTATGGCTCGCCAAAGCCATGCGCGTGTATTCATACAGGATATCCCAAAAATCGCATGCTTTCCATCAACTATAATATTTTTAACGAATTTGGAATCGATCGTTTTGAATTTTTTTGTAGTGCCCTGCTTTTATGCATAATTTCCTGCCTTCTAATTATATTATAAAATTCAAATTAAAATTCACACACGCACAAATAAATTTATTCGAGATGATAGTTAAAAATTTCGAATTTAATTCAATTTAAATTTATATTCGCACTTGGTCTTTCAATTAATGAATAACTTATCGAAATCTACTTACTTCTGTGTTTTACGGAGGAGAAAGGTCGGTTCTAAACTTAGTCAAATTATATTTGGAAGGAAACAAGTCCCGCACATTTTTGGATATCTTGTATGTATAAAGCATGCATTCATACGCACACATACACGCATATCATATGACATATTCTTCTACTGCTACATCCAAACGCATGATGTGCATCCTCTCCATTTCGTCCATTTCGCGAAGCGGAAAATAAGATAATGTTTGATTTTTTTGTCTCGACAATCGTGGTAGCGTCATACAGCGACATTCCAGCAGCATCAACGATTTTTTATTTTAGAGTTTATTAAGAGATACAGAGTAATTCAAATTTACGTCGCACAATTGCACAAACACACGTCACACGTACAATAAGAATCAAATCAAATTATTGATCAGCTAACATCTGCATATATTATATATTATTATCAACAAAGTATAATTTGACAGGCTGACTGATGACAGTTTATTTATCTATTTTTATATTTTATTTTTATACGATTCGAATCTCAAAGTCTTGACGATCAAAAATTGACTTACGGAAACAATTAACGAAAATTATATCGCCGAATTGTATAAATGTTAAAAATATATCTATGTAATAAAAAAAAGTATTTAATACTTTTTTTTAGATCTTTAGTTAAAAATTGAAAAATCTTTTTCGTTTGATCTTAATAATTTGTCAATAATGATACTTTCTGCGTGTGATGACTAAAACGAGAAAGATTTATATATAGAATTTTTCGATTATTATAAAAAAATAGAATGTTTTTCAAGTTCAACGAACATGTTTGAATTATTCTGTACTATCGTAAGTCTATTAAAATTATAGCGTATCGATAATTTTCGCAATTCCGTTAGAAATCTCTATCGAATCACCATCGTGTGTGTTTGTGTACGTATGTGGTGTATTTCTTTTGTCCGTATGTGAGTATGCGTGAAATACGCGCGTGTGTATGTGCGTGTGTGTCATCAATTTTAATTAATAATATTCCACTTATAACAGCATTTCAGAGATAATTACATGCTTGCGGCGTAACTTGTCATTATAAAAAAATACGGACGTTTTTTCTGTATCGGAGACTTAGAGCGAGTGATCTAAAGTAGAAACGATTAGACTTAAATTCGTTGATTTATATTACATATCTGTAAATGAGAAGTTTATCGATTTATTATCTTTCTCTCCCTCTCGTTAGGATTGCTCGTTATTAATCTTGTCCCGTTATAATACAGCGTTATAATATGAATGTAGCGAAGGTAACATTCGTCAGTTTTCCAAAAGTGTCGGACGACTGCGAAATCATTTATGTGGAGTCCCTCACGTCGTTCTTATCATCATCCGCTCTCTCTCCTCCCCATTATCTAAACTGTCTACGATTAACATCGCGAAGTATTGGATCCTCCGCCTGTTAGAACCGTTCGATTATCTACAAATACACGAGAAAAACTTGTGCCAATTACAAGACTAATCATTAATACATACTAATTCATAAAGAACGAGAGGGAAGCGACGACGATCCATGAAATCGAAGAACTCACTTCCAAAAGCTCAAGAACATATCCTTTTGAAAATTGAAGATTGTGCATGCAGTAAGGCTACGTAATGCATAATTTTTTTAACGTGCGTTTAAAACGATTCAGAGGTGAGCTCTTCGATGGCGCTATACCGATGGCGGTTCTATTTAAGTGATCGCACATATCGAAATACATATATATCTTTTAAGGCTGTATCAATGTTTAATCATCCATAGGATCCAGGATTCCTACGGATGTGTGTAAACTAAATGCAAATTTTGCCTCCGAGAGGATAGTGTAGCATGGCAATAAAGAGAAAACGATCGTATGCTTTCTTCAAGCGTATCTCTCTCTCTTTGTTTTGCATATCTTGAAAAATCTCAACTCACTTTCTCTTTCTC